TTAATTCAATCATTTACTATATCTTAACTTCCAGTTATTTTATTACTTTGCAGAGAGATTTGCTATCTGCTGCTGTCCTCTACAAATGAAGGATTAGAGAGAGGCCCCTGTTACCACTGCCAAGTGACAAGGAGAAAGGATTAATCAGGCAGACCTCCTTCTATAGTTCACTTTTTACTTGAAGAGGACTTTGTGTAGAAGATGGGAGGGGAGATGTTTTATTGTCAGAAGTTTCCACCATATTAGATCTATGCAATAGTAATTATATTTGTATTTACATTTTCCCTTTTGTAAATGAATTAATCCATACCAAACCATTATGAAATATTATCTTCATTTTACAGTTTGGAAACTGAAACCAGAATTGACAAAGACCAAAATTTTATGATGCATCCCAAGATTTTGGGTGCTTACTCGAGATACTGAGTACTCAGAATACCAGTTAAATGTAATAGGACTTTGAGTACTTATCCCATCTGTAGATCAGCTTCCAGATGTCTCAAGATAGTCAGCTAAAGTTTCTAAAGGTCCAGTAACTTTGGCCTATACAGCTTGCCCACATGCACACAGCAAGTCATTAGGAGAGATGGAATTGGAAGTGTCTCAAACTCATAAAACTAGACTGTTCAAAAAGCCAGGTACTTCCATGTGCCATATTTACTGAACATAACTTTACATTTCTTGCTCTTTGCGTTCAAATTTAAGCCATAACATGTTTCATTAATTTATTTTTATCATTTGATTTTTCTCATTTAAAAGAAAGAAGAGAAGCTCAAAGTAAATTTGACTGTTCAGTGCAGAGCTGTGGGTTTTAAATTGTCTTTCTCAGCAGATGTATGAAAAAATACTAGTATGAAGGCAGTGACAAAGCCAAAGATCTAATAGCCATGTTTTATTGTTACACACACACACACATACACACACACACCTTAACTGTTAACAGATTAAGGCAACATTTTAAATAATTGGTTCTCCCTTCAAATGCCACTGTTCCTCACTGGGGATTGGCTGCATGTTACATTTAAAGTATTAAATTATGTTGTTCCTGAAATATTTGTCTGGAAAAACAAGTCTGAGGGTTTTTAAACAGTAAAATCATGTATTATTCTCAGATGCCTACCTGAAACATCTGGATAGCTTTTGGTCAAACTCATAAACAAAATGCACCTTTGGTGAGAACAGGAATAGAAAACTCCCCTTCTCTGCCAATCCTCAAAAAAAAAGGTTGGTAATAAAGTTGGATTGCAATCTTGCCTGTAGCTTTTGCTATTGCTAAAACTATCATATGACAAGCAGCTTCTTTATTTCTGATACAGAAAATCTATTTAAATATTAATGTCATTATAAAAATCAGACTTTTCAATTGCAAAATGCATTACCTCAAAGTAGAATGGGAGGGGGAGAAACAGCTTAAAGTGACAGTTATAAAAACTGGTACTGCCCTGAGACACTTTCCTATTTTCCTGGTAGTATTGGAAAATAAGCTAATAGCTGATCCTCTGAGCACCCATCAAATGGACAGGGTAACTACCTACAAAGCTGCTCCAGTTATTAGGAAAGTAAATAGTTTCATCTTCCTGAATGAGGAAAATTCACATTGATAATGTGATGTTAGCGCCATCTGTTGTGATGTACTTACATTATAAACACAACCATAAAATGTTGGAGGAATTGTTTGTATTCTCCAGTAGGAAGTGGAAAGGTCCTTTGCATACTCAAATACAACTTGCAGATCTGCACCCAAAATAATATTTCTTTTAAATATCTCTTCTCTTCATTTTTATTATGCTATCAGCCACTTCCTTGTGTTGCCTGGAGTGATCTGTTGTGTATAGTACCAACTTTGTAACTTAGTTTTGGTAGCATTATATTATTAAATAATACTGTTCTTTTTAAATTTGAAGTGCATTTTCAACTATGTGATTCCTGAAAGGTACCTGTGAGACGAGAAAATAGTTGACTCTCTTTACGTAAAATAACTGTAATAATGATTCCCTGACGTGTCCTCCATGCCAAAGGATCAGTTACGTGCAAACAAGAATTTAGTCCTTCAAGCTCTAGCTCCTAGTCAAATAAGTTCATGTCTGAAATATTTGACAAACTCAAATGTTCCCTCTGCTGCCTAAATTTATGCTCTTGATATACAGAGTTATTCCTAATTCCTTATTCCTAATAATATTGTATTCACAATTTGTGTAAACTTAATTGCTGCTCGTAAACCTCCGCAGGTATTTCCATAGAACTAGAGTGGTGGGTGGAGGGAGGCAGTTTACTTTGCTGTGCTTCTCATATCTCAGCTTGCAGGCAGATATCTTTACCCAGCCCTTACTGATTTCTAATATTTCCCTATATCAGTCTTGAACATGCTGGCTTTCAGCTTCTTAGGCTGTACCTGCATCACTGATAGGTGTAAGAAGGCATACTAATTTATTTTTATTTGCATTAATTTTGTCTGACTCACTGTGGGCAGACTTGTGACTTTACAACACAGTGGGTGTGTCTACATGTGCGCTTTAATGCATAGTAGCTTATTCTACTGCGTATTGAAGTGGCAAGTAAACAAAATTCTAATACGCTAATGTGCAGTAGAATAGGCTACTGCACATTAAGTGTCACTGAAAAAGCATTTGTTTGTGCTACTGCACATTAGCACAGCCTAATGCACCTTTACATAGTACTTCATATTAGAGGTACTAAACTTAATGTGCAGTAGCAAAAGACCATTAATGAATGTGTAGACGCGCCTCTTACTCCCCTGAGCACCTATCTGTTGTGAGAAACAGAAGCCTCCTCAGGAAAAGGATATGCAGACCAATTCAGAAGAAAAACAATATTTTAATAGGGTGGAAACAGACATTGCCTGATGTTTCATTTGTGCTGCCATCAAAATTTTTTCTATTGGCTCCCAAAAAGTGAGCTCATAGACCAGCCAAAAAGTGACCTCATAGACCAAGGGTGGACAAAATGGCGGATCCGGCTAGCAGCCAAATTCCATTTCTCAGCAGCCCCTGCCCACATGGCTGGGGCTGGGTTCCATGGCGACCCCAGTCACACCTGTGCTGTGATATTGTAAGGCTGGGATTGCCATGGAAACCGGCCCCAGCCATGTTGGCAGAGTGCATGGCAGGGCAGGGCAGGGGCCTGCTCCGGAGCCGCTGGGATCTTGCAGCAGGGCAGCTTGGTCCGGGGCCAGGGCAGAGCTGTGATCTGCAGGCTGCATGCTCTGGGCTGGGGCATGCAGGCAGCAGATTGCAACTCTGGCCCGGCTCTTCCTGAGAGCAATCTGAAAGCAAGGAGTCATCAAGGGAGTGAAGCTAAAAAAAAAAGCATAAAAGGGAGCAGCAAGAAAGTTAAGTGTGTTGTCATTGTCACCATCATAAATCCAGCCTTCAATACCTGTCTGGATTGTCCCAGCCAACGATGCACTCTTTGCTTCAGGAACTGTGTGGCAGGCATCTATTAGCTCTGTGGCAGGAGTAGAGGAGCCTGAGCTGCTCCTACTCTCATCACCTTGGAAAGGTGCTCTGGGGGTTTGAGAGCTTCAACCCCCAGAGCATTGGCTTGCTTTCCCTGCTTACAGAGAGGGCCCCCAGCGAATCTGGGGTGCTCCTCTATGGGTGGGAAAGTCAAGGTTCCCCACTCAGCCAGTTCATGGTGGACGGGTCTAGGTGAGCAAGGAAAGCAGGAAGATCACATTGTTCTGGCCCTGCACCACCAATGGCAAGACAAGGAGCAACATGTTTCGTGCAGTGAAGCAGATCAGCTGTGCCACAATATCGTGGCACAGTTGATCCACTTCATTTAGCAATATCTATTTCTAGCCTACTGAATCACTGTTTGAGCCTAATAGTAATTACTTTTTTCCTAAAAGCAAAGGGGGAAATTGGGTGGGAATTGCCCATTCTGTCTCAGCCACCTCCTTGATTTGATTTTAAGTCTGACACAGTGAGCGTTTTTCTTTAAGTTGGGGCAGATTATAAGAATAGTCTAGGTAGTAAATAGCAGGTGGTAATTTTCTGCAGATTTCTCTCAACTTTTAATTAGGAATGCTTTCCAACACTGAAGCTTGGAATTGAATTGTTTTGTTGACCATGAAGAGCCACTGAAAATGGATATATTGCTAGCCCTCAACCTGATAGAATTGAAGTCTTGCTGGTCAGCTTAGAACAGAGAGACCAAACTTTCACTTATGATCTACCTTAACGAAGGTAGATCTATGTGACTTGGTTGTTTCAGGATAAAACTGTCACCTAAAGCAGGGGTGTCAAACATAGCCCACAGGCTGGATCTGGCATACAGAGCTCTCATCAGGCCCATGGGGCAAGAGAAGGCCCATGAGGAACTCTATAGTCTGGATCTGGCCTGAGGAGGGTTAAACCAGTTTGACACCCCCAACTTTAAAGAATTTCAGTTCCTATTGCATGTCTATATTTATTTCTTGGCCAGGTAAAAATTAAGTACTATAAACTGATCACCATATCCAGTTTATTGAGTTAATGAATGTCAAGACATTTCTGGTACACATTTGATTTACTAAGATTTTTTTGTTTTGCCTTAGAAGTATTACACCAAACTATGAGCTAAGACAGAAGAAGATGGAGAAGATGTTTTCTGGCAAAAAACATACCTTATCCTAGGGCTGCTGGCATTTGTAGTGTTTGGGCTGTGCCTTCAGGGACTGAGCTTCCCAGAGGAAATGAAGAGCACAGTTATCTCAGTGGTTCTCAATCACTTATTTAGGCAGAGTGCCAAGTCTCTTTCCACTTAAAATGATACAGAGCAAAGCACCTCAGAAATGCATGAGACCAGGAGTAAAAAAGAATGAAAAAATTCTTCAAATAGAAGAATGGACCAGTTAAAAACCATCCACAGTGGCTCTCAACACAGGCTGAGCAAGGGCTCTTGTGCTGTTAAGTAGAAAGAAAGTCTCACTACTTTTTTAGGAAGAACCTAAAAAACCTCTTTTTGAGTACTTAGTCAAAGAAACTGAGACACTCAACTGATAGGGTATTAGGTTTAATATACTAATTAAAGGACACATAGCAGCTAACAAGTCTTAAACATCACTCTTAACTGATAACTGACCAGACATCTGATAGAAAATGAATCTATACTTGCCAATTATCAACATTTCTACAAATGATTGTTGTCATGACAATTCTGATTTTTGACTAATAGCACTGTGATTAGTGCACGATAAGAGGCTGGTGAACAAGTATAAATGCTCCCTTTTTTCTATAGTCCATAGAGAATATTGCTGGTTTCAGCTACCAGAAAACACAAGAATCTGGTTGGTTGTAATACAATATGATCTTTGATCAGTATAATGAACCCATTGCAGATTTTTCAATTCACAAAGAACTCTTTAAAAAAAATTAAAAATGTTAATGGCAAAAATGTTAGCAGCAAACATGGCATATTTCAACCTCAAAAGCCCCTCAGTAATGACCATCAGTTCCTTTACATAAATTAAACCTGCTAATGCATTAGTGCTTTCCTTCTCCCACTCCCTTACTTCTTTATGACTGTAGAATAAGCTCTCTTCCTTCTACTGTCACTAGTGCATATACTAATACATATACATTGGAATAATTTTGCCCTGCTACAAAGTTGGCTGTAATATGCTAAACCTTCCAGTTTTCCTAATAGATCTTTCAGAAAACTAATATTGTACTATACTTTCCTTCCTGCTTCATTATTCAGTATTATGTTTCTCATAGCCACCACTGAAAGGAGGTGTTAACCTTCTCATAGTCTTACAAAATAACTTAAGCTGATGAGCAGAAATATTTTTCAGGCAATATAAACAGTTCAAACTTTCAATATAAGATACTTATCCCATTATCCTGAATGCGGATTATAAATCATGGAATACTGTAACAAATCTATAGGCCTTTGAAAAATGCATCTGTCTGCTCGTAACATGCAAATCACGTTTTTCCTTTCAGTTCAAGATTATCATTATGGATAAGATGATTACAAATGGAAAACAAGAATGTGTCCAAAAAAGAAGAGTTGAGGAGCCTCTACATGTATGAAAGACTTTGAAATTGCAGGTCACCTTTTGGTACAGTATTCTTTTTAATTATCAAACAGTATAAAAATACAAAATATTGCAAGGACACAGACTAAAGAGAACCCTCATAGGGGAAAAGGAAACTTAAAAATATTCTTCATTTAAAAAAAAAAGGTTTTGTAGATATGATAATATAGATTGCAAAGTTGATTGCAGTGGTTTTCATGTCAGCACTGAAAAGCCCTGTTTCTCTGCATCATTTTCTTCAATAAGAAAAAAACTCTATAATGTTCATTGAAAAAAAACCTATAATGTCTCTCCTATCAGAAGTCTTCATGCATTTCTGTTGATATCCGTAAAGTAACTCGCTATAAGAAAAATAAAACAAGATCAGTTAAACATCATAACATTTCACAGTATTTCAATGTACTAGAGACATGAGTAAATATGTTGGTATATGTATGGCAAAAAAGTGAGATGCAAGGGTTTGAAACAAGGAAAGGAGGAAGGCTTTTTGGTTATAGTCTGCTATTTAATTTGGAATGAACACTTTGGTTTTCTGTCTGTTGGTAGTGTGAGAGCGGTTGCGATCTGAAAATGCGCTGTGTTTAAATTACGCACAGTACTGAGACATAACTCTTCTGAGTTGCAGTCTACGTATTGTTACTGTCTGTGTATAAGGATAAGAGACTTGCATTTTAATATACCCACCTTCTTCCATTTATTTAGAATATAAATAGCATATGTATTTGGTCATGTCTTCAGTGCTGGAGCTCTTTAAGGGTCTGTGCCAATCTCTGTGTTCTGCAGACCACTGCACTGTGGGCAAAAGTGACTTTATGGCCAAAGCATGCAAGTCTCACAGGTGACAGAGAGAACCAATGCTCTGTGTCTAAAAATCCCTCACATGCAGATACCATTTTCAGAAAACAGACAAACAGTTGGTGGAATGGCAATAAGTTTCCAAAAGGACCAACAGTAAAAATTCTGGCCTTTCTGAACTAGAAGAAATATTACTGCAACCTGTAAAAGGCACTGTATTTTTCTGTGGCAGCTGGTTCACTGTGACTTTATGAACGATTGCTTTTTCTGGACACTGCCTTTTGTTCTCCAGAACAGAAACCAAGTTTTCATTTTTAATAATTGAAATCCCTAGCTTCTATGAAATCCAAGAAACATGCTTAGCTTGTATGTAAACTCAGTAAAACATGAGTTAGACCATTTATTTTATCAGATGTACCTTTACAGGGCCTACGCAATTAAGCAAGTAAGTAACTTCACTCATTTACCAAAATGTGATCTGGATCTGACGCCGAGTACACGATATTATAACTTTTAACTTTGAAAGCACAAACATTTATGATGAAAAGACAGAAATAAATCATGTGGTGCTATAAAATCTTTATCTGGATTTCTGACCTTTTTACCTGAACTAGAATTTCCATAGTGCCTATTAATATGTAGTCTGTAGCTCTTTTTAGGTACTATCAAGACTTATAAATACCAACCTGAAAATCTCTAATGAAGGTTAAGAAGTAGAAGACAAAGCTGAAAGCCACTGTCCATTCACAGATTGCACTCACAAAATGATAAACATACCCCTGATGAAAATGAGAAACAAAACAGACTTCCATATAAAACATTAAAACAAAATTCACGTAGAATGCTAGACAGCCTGGTAAATCAAACAAAAGTAGAAATCCTCTTCCATGTACATATACAGAATATAAAATATTTTCAAGGCTGGGATTTGCTTCAGTTTTTTAGATTAACCAATTAACCTATCCTCGATGTTTGAGTAGTCAAAAGGCATTTACAGTAATGAGCATCTTCTAAATGCATGTAATGAATGAATGAATAAAAGCTGTTGGGCTATAATGCTCCTTCTACCCTTATCCTTTAATTTTGTACCATATAGCTAGTTGTCATGGAGGGGAAGGAGAGGGGTTGGATGATATAACCTGTTTATTTCAAATCCTGTGTTCAATGTTCAAATGTTTTAATTCCAGATTATTCATTGGGGTTCTAAGGTGCTGAAAGTCCTTAACAGTCAACTTTTTCAGGAGTTGAAAGTTCCCAACATTGGAAAAATAGATCCTTCAAAGTATTGTACTAGTGGAGGAAGGAAACCTTTTACTTAAGAATGTAAACTCCTTTGGGAAGGACTCTCCTTGGATTCCTGGTCCACAGTAAGAACTCCTCTATATTATCCACACATTGTAGTATTGTAAAGTAATAAAAGTATAAGAAAACTAGAGCCTGTATAAGTAGCACACAGGATTCTTGAAGAATTATTGCATTTAGTTTATACAGTATATAATGAATTATAAATTTCCAGAGTTCATCAACTTACATTTTGAAGCAAAGAGAACCTTTAAAATAAAAGATCCCTCCATTTCCAGTTAGATTAATGTTTCTTTATAAAAATGTTCAACTGCAGCAAAGATTTTGAAGATCTATATTGACTCAAAAAAGGTCTGCTCAGCCATCACTTTCTGAAAGCTAATATAGCCTTAGGCTTTTATGGAGTACTTAATAGGTTATAGGCTTTGCATACAGTTCCATCAAGTACAAATAGGAAGAAATAAAAACACAATGAATAGGAGATAAATAAGTCTACTTTGGCTACCACGTATCCTGCTAAATGTTTAGTTATGTGTTAGGGGTATCGTGAAAGGACTACAGCAGCCCAAATTCAAGATACTCATTCAAAGCCACAGAGGTAAATGGAGTGAGGCCCCCAACAAATGCATTACTTTATAAAGATGGATGGCCATCCTTATTCAGGGCCTGACTGAGGATGTTTCGTAAGGTTTCTGATAGAAAGTCTCTTCAAATGGGACACAAGTAGAATAAAAATGGATTCTTTTCAGCCAAAGTATGCCATCTGTTTCAATAAGAAGACACCCCTTCCAGAAACGCAACAAACTCAGGGGATTGATAGTACTAAAAATATCTTTCTTGTAAGACTTATCTTCACAGCTGTCTTCCCAGTTTTGTTTTAAGCATGTTGCCAAGTTTACCCTTATTTAAAACCTCATAGCAAGATGCAGACACTGCATTTTTTTACTTGATTTGTGCAGAAAGTACTCCCCACCATGGCATAGTTCGTCCACAAATACACTTTTAGATCCTTTGCAGTCCTCCCCACAAACACTCCAAAAGTCACTGAAGTCATGAGGCTGCATAAGGAAGTAATGTGTTGAAATTATCTCTTTCTAGAAATGAGTTGTTATTACAGTTGTATATTTAGATTGTGGGAACTTTTAGGAGCTTGCGTAAAATGAAAGTCTGATGTTTTTCAGATGTGCTCATTACCAATCTTCACACGCCAATCCGTTAAATATTGTTGCCTAAATAGGGAGTCATTAAAAAAAATAACATACTGTACAGGTTTGACAGCTTCTGTTTACTGTAATACAAAAATCCTTGTGATATTTGCCCTTATGTTTTATCTAGAAGTATATAGCATTGCAGAACCAAGCTATTAGACTGCATAAATAAGTTGGTTACCTAGTGAGGTTTTACCTTTTCACCTGGAATCCAATCAATTTTTGTTATAGAAATTCGTGAAGCAAATATAATCACTGTGGAAAATAGCATAAAGGAAACAATAACAAACTTAAAAGTTTATTTTTTATAAAGTGCCCAATTTCCCCTTCTGCAAGACTGAACAACCAGTTACACTATAGTAAAAAACCTGAATATTACAAAGCCAAGCAAACAAAATATATTTCTCAAAGAGGATGATCATAATCAACACAGCACGTGTCTCTGAATAAATAAAGTCACTATGGGTCTTCTCAGAGTCAGATGGATGTGAGATGAAGCATTTCTGTTCGAATTTTGGCCTCACTCCTGTACTGTGAGCTATCTGAGCAGAGTCTTGCATGGTAAGATGCAGAACCCCACAGCTTCGTCCAGCCTCCAAACGGGTGTTTGGATCTATTTGCATAGCTCCAAGAACTAGATGAGGGCTCTTATGCAAAAATCCTTCACAGCAGCAGAAACCAAGAACACACTTAGCTGTGTGACTGAAATGGGTAGTCATTTTCTGTTCAAAGTAATAAATAGAACATTGTGGGCTTCAAAATGAAAGGGCATAGCAGGATGCTAGGGCCATGCTTTAGTCAACCTTGGGTTGGGGCTTGGGATGGCAAGAGACAGCCTATTGTCAGGGGATGAGAGTGACGGTAATGCCTTAATAAGAAAAGAAAAATGTATGACATCCCTAAACCACAAGCCTCTTTGGAACCACCCTTCAGGTAGTTGAAGGCTGCTATTAAATCCTCTCTGTCTTCTCTTCTTCAGATTAAACTAAATTCATATACACTTTCCTTCCAAAGTAGGGGTACCAAACTCATATGGCCTCCATGGGATAGGTCTGTGGGCTTCAGCTGCTGTGTAAGTTCCATCAGCCAAGAATTCAGTGTTGCCACTTCTTAGCCCCCAGAGTCACAGCTGCTGCAAATGTCAGTATGGCCAGGAGCCCAGGGGTGAACATTACTGATTTTAATTACTAGCAGCAACTAAAAACATTAGATTTTGCAGTGTTCTTCACTCCGTGGATGCTGGCTATGCTGATGCTGAGACTCTGGCAGCCATCGCATTAATGCTGTGTGTTTGATACCCCTGCTCTAAAGCAGCTATTACTTGACACTGTTGAAAACCATTGGTCTGATTCTGTATGGCACTGCTTATGTTCTGAAAACATTTTCTAGCTTGAATCACAACTAATAGTTTCTCTGTGGTTTATTTGTCATCAGATCTATAACATGTTAATGCCTAGTTATTAACATTGAGGACAGTTCTCAACTGTCAATTGAGTTAACTGCTAAGTCAACTCAAAGGACAGTATGTTACAGTTTGGTTATCTGTACCAGAAAAGTAAAACACAAGCTGGAACAGGTGATCTCTTTTCTGGAGAGTTGTTGTTTTTTTTTTGGGGGGGGGGGGG